GGAAAGAAGGGACAGAGTCATTTATAGGCTGGTGGTTTAAAAAGGGAGAAGTAAAAGAGAGGATAGAGGGGAAGGTGTTTAGTCAGAAGAGGAAAAGGGCAGCATGTGTGCACAACAGCAAAAATGCACTGAAAGATTAAAAAAAACACTCTTGTTCCTATTTTATGATGGAGTATGATAAGTGAAAGGGTAATGCATTTTATGAAAAGACCAAGACTTAAAAAAGCTTAATTTCTGTCCCAAAACTAGCAAAAACAAACAACAACAACAACAACAAAAAAACCCCAACCAAACATCCGAAGACCAGCACAATTATATAGCCACATCTAGTTTATTTTTAGTCTGTCCTACTTACACAGTCCTGCTACCTTAAATAGACTAAAAGATAGCTGAAAATAGCTTTAAAAAGGTACTTTTTTCTCCTGTTTGCTTAACTTTTGCTAAATCTTACAGTTGTCAGACATGGCAGGAAAGGGAATTAAGATATATTCCTTTGCCTTTCTGCTTTACAAAAAAATAAATAAATAAGAGAACTGAGGAGTATACCAGTTTGAAAAGTGAGGGGAAGTGAGAAATAATCTGTAATCATGTGAAATTACAGAGACGGAATGAAAAATACAGACATATGCAACAGAGGGGCAGAAGCAGTAGGAGAAGGAAGGATGATAAGAGAGGACAGCACCCTTTTTTCTATTTAAAAGATGCAAGTATGCGAACGGTGGAGAGCACAACAAATATAAAGAAAGAGGGAGAGGAGGAGAAAAGGGGTGAAAGGGATCAAAGCATGCAAGTGTGCAGAGGAGATGGAGCGAGAGAGAAAGAGATCGAGAGAGAGAGTTATGGGAGCAGGCAGTGAGGCAAAGCAGCGCAGGAGAGGGAGGGAAGTGTGAGAGAGAGTGTGTGTGAGTGAGAGGGCGGGGGTGAGCAAACACGCTCTGCACGTGATTCAATCTGTTCACATGGCCTTGTATTACGCTGTTATAAATACTTAATGTGAGGCGCAGCATGCAAAAAAGAAAAGGAAAAAAGGCCTTTTATATAGAGTGATTTTGAAAATGTGGGCAGGAGGCCTGAAATCCAAAATCAGCAGAAAATGCATAAAAGAGGCAGAGGATGCACGACATCACAGCAAACTCCCTAAAGTAGTGTAATGCACCAGTAACACATCAGAGCACGTTCAGCTCTGTTGTCATTTGTCGGAAACGAGCTGAAGCTGTCATCTGCTCTCTGAGTCCCTGCGTTATATAATGATAGAGAGGCCTGCACTTCTCTGCTTTCCTCTCCTATAGAGACATGAATCAAACCCAGGATGTGTCCTAAATAGAACCTGCACACACAGATCCCAGTGTGTGTATGCGTGTGTGTGTGTGTGTGTGTGTGTGTGTGTGTGTGTGTAGACCAGCTGCAGCCCTATAGTCGGGGACTATATCCACAGAGTGTCAACCTGATTAGGTCTCTGTGCACTCGCTTGTCTGCAGAAGGCTTTTTATGGATGAGGTGATACAGTAAGTTGGGATTCCTGGATGGTGACAAAAACAAAGGAATGTAAAAAAATCTGTTTTTGCTCAGCCAATCGCATCGTGTTATGTGAGAACAATGTGTCACAGAATCAGATATTACTGGTCCATCATTTTTCATCTGGTAGTAAGTAAAGCACAGACAGATTAGGTAACATATGGGGTGTGTTTGAGTACTGCTATCGCATGCTATAGATGTTTTATGGCGTCATTATTATGTAGAAGATCTACAGTATGCTGAACTAGGACACAAGATTATGTGTTTTCATCCAAGAGGCTAGATTTAACTTTGCTTAGGCTCTCTGTCGAATGTAATCTAAATATATCCGCTGCACTCAGATATATATTTCATTCAGGCATGCACTGTGATGCAGTGATTAATGCTATCACCTAACAGCAAGAAGGTTCTGGTTTTTGAACCCACTGGTCATCTGGGACCTTTTGCTTCTTCCCACTGTCCACAGACATGGCATTTTAAAAACTTGTCACACACACAATATCCTTACATTAACCAGCTGAAGCCCTGAGTCGAAAATCTAGTGAAGTCAATACTGCACATCTGCCCAGGACATGATCTGGACGTGCTTATGATTTGATTTGGTTGGGTAAGATAAGAAGCACCGTCTCTGTGAGTAACGGTGGGGCTGCTCATAGTACCAGTAGGCTATACTACGCATCATCAAACACACGCCTACATAGAAAGGCAAGCCCCTTAACGTACACGCACACATGCACGAGCCCCGCACACACTCACACACATTCGGCATACTCCCCTCGCCCATGCGGAAACAAGCGAGGCGATGAAGACGCTTCGAGCACCCAGCTGCATCCCGTCTCCAACGTAAAACACCAAGACGTGACACTGGCACGCCTCGTAAATGAAACCACGCAGCCTCTGAATTACACAATAATTAGGAGGGAAGAGCGAATAAACATGCCTCGTGCAATACACTACGCCAAAGCACAACCCGAGCCAAGAACGAGGAAATACTATTAGGGCAGCACATGACACCGTGGAATAAAATTATCTCATTCTTGGTGACAAGCGGTCACACAGACCAGAGGGGCACGGCCGTCGTAAGGTGGTATAACACGCAATGTCAAACCTATTTGTGGAAATCAGTCTACGTTACAAAAAGAGCCATTCACTGCAGCTCGTAGTGTTCAGCACCGCGGACAGCTCAGTGATTCTTTTATTTATTTTATTATTTTATTTCACCCCTTACACTCTGAGCATTTCCTCTTTAAAATCCCAAATCCACAAGAGTGGTGAAACACTTTTTAACACCCACGTAATCCCATCCCTGTAAAAAAAAAAACAAAAAAAAAAACAATCGCAATCAAGACGGCATCTGCTCTGCTGCTGTCCATCAGCTGTTTCCGTGTTACGGCGCAAATTCGGAGATGCGCTGCTACCCTGAGCACTTCACCCAGTGCTGCTGCTCCTGCTGCTCCTACCTTGTCATTCCCATCCCGGGGCCTCCCATTCCCATTCCTCCACCGGCAGCTGCTCCGTTGACCGGCTTCATGTGCTGTCCTGGTCCCTGCGAGGGTCCTCCAGGCATCATCGACCCCATCATCCCAGCGGATCCCGGCTCCCCGGGCTGCCCGCCGCCCTCCATGCTCGCTTCGTTCCCCATCTCGGTCTCGACTCAGGAGACGGGAGGGGTGTGGAGAAAGGTATTAGGTCAAATCGGCGGTGTCGCTTTTTTGTATCGCTACGTTTTGTGTTTTACTTATGCAGTCAAAAAAAAAAGAACTAAGAAGGAGGGAGAAGAAGTGAGAGAAAACTGAGCGGAGCGAACTCAGCGCTGTTCCTCCGTCACCGCCATCATCGTCCTCATCCTCGTCAGCTTCAGCACCAGCAGGCTGCCTCCTCCTGACGTGATGACGGGAGCGTGCCGCACGGCCACGGCGGCTGTGAGAGAGAGAAAATGAAAGCGCGAGCGGCGAGAGAAAGCGAGATTAGATTAGATTTGATTAGATCAAAGTTAAATGAGTCCCGTGGGGAGGAAACAGGGACGCACGGGCGAGATTAGGAAACAAGGAGCACCGGGGAGAGGAATTAAAAGGGGAGTACCTTTTCACCTCCTGTTGGTGAGCATAAGAAAAACAAGCACAGATATGAAGAGATTTCAATTACATTTTCCAAGCTCATCTAGGTCTAAATAAACACCGCTTGAATGAGCTTTATTAATTGTAATGCAGAATTTTTCACATTAATTAAAGAAAAAGATGGTAACATCGTGTAGTTTAAAGTTAATTTCCCCTAACCTGTGGACTTAATCAGCCTGTAGACAGAAAAATACCCTAATCCATCACATTTATTAACAAATGTGAATATTTACACTGCAGTGTCGTGCAAGCATGCAAATAACAGCGACTTAAATGTGGAAATGAGGATGACTCTGCCATGTATAGATACGCTATGCAAGAGGAGCCTGGTTACCTATGTGTGTGACCAAAAAACTACGTAAAATGCCTGGTTTATTACGTAGAATTTATTATGTCACGTGAGGTGCGAAGACACAAACGCGAGGTCGCACTTTCTCGCTGTGGACGCTGATGCTGATGCTGAGGGGAGGGGCAGTGGAGAGTGCAGTAGGCATGGGAGCGCGCGCTCACGTAACACTTTTTCCCACTCTGAGAAGGGCACGAGGAGGTACGCGAACGCGCAGAGGCACCAGGAACCACTGCACTGGAGTATCACGTGTCCGAAAAGAAAAAAAAAATACTCCAGAGTGTTGCACACCTGCCGGGCACGCGCTGTTTATTGACACCCAAACAATTCTGGGCATGAGGTTAATGCGCTGGAAAATTTGCCCGTTATGACGTTGGCTTGTTGGACTTTGGCTACATTAGGACAGGCTACTAGAAGCTCTTGTTAGCTGTAACTGGTAACAGTAGCCTAAACCAGAGATTTACAGTACTGTGCAAATGTCTTGAGCCACAGCCTCACCTCTTTTTATTTGCTAGGAAAATGTGCAAACGTACATTAAAATACAGTATATGAGGCAACAACAGAGTTTGTTCAGTTGTAATGACTTTAAAGAGGACAGGGTTTATATGTTTAGCTTTCATGTCCTCTTCTATTCCTCAACACAGCTTGAACTCTCTTAGGCAGCTTTCTTGTAATTTCTTTAAGTATCTTCAGGAATAGTTCTCCAGGCTTCTTGAAGGACATTCAAAGCTCTCATTTGGATGTTGGCTGCCTTTTGTTCTGTTCTCTATCAATATGATCCCACACTGCTTCAATAATGTGCAGGTCCAGGCTCTGGGGAGGCCGATCCATGACTGACAGTGTGCGCTTGTGTGTTTTTCAGGTATTCTTTTACTGCATTGGCAGTATGTTTGGGATCATTGTTGAGCTGAAAAATGAAACTGCAGCCAATCAGACACTTTCCAGAAGGCATTTCATGGTGGATCAAACTCTGATGGTACTTTTCTGTGTTTTTAATACAAGCAATTTTGAGACGATCTCCAACACCACTGACTAAAATGCATCATTAAACCATGACAGCCATGACACATGGCTTTAGATGCTCCCTGTTCACTGACACTCTCTCCTTAAGTCCTTGCTACATACTTATTTGGATTCATCACTCCATCAACCCTGTCGCTGCTGATTGTCAGTCTTGAGTAATTTGGTTACATTGGCATGCCTCTTTCTCCTGTTTCCCTTCACTAACATATATACATACATAAAACTACTATTTTATACATTTTAAAATTAATATTTCATAAAATATCAATTTTATCGAGCATTAAATATCAAACATAAAATTGATCTGTTATGTGTAGACACAAAACTGGTTCATCACTTCAGGTAGGTGCTGAATAATTCATAGGTCAGTGTTTAGTGAATTAACAAACAAAAAACAAAAATCTCTGAAAATGATCAAGTACATTGACTGGATTAAAAATTAGTTAAAAAGCAACCCATGTTCAAAAAAACTGTGGCTTCTTAGGATAAAAATAAATAGAAATTAGGGGTGACTCAAGACTTTTGCACAATGTTGCACATGATTTATTGCCGCTTGTGGTGTTTAATCCAGGTGAATATATATTAGCCCCTCTTTTTTTAAAAAATAATCAAACCTTTTGAAGAAGAAATAATCCTGAGTTTATCTATGATTGTTGCCTCCTCCGGATGTATTTTTATGTTGGCAAGCTCATCAGAATGCACCAAGCTGTTGCTCTAATGATCACGCCATCACTTTGATAGATTTCTTCAGTTTTTTCTGCATTTTGGGTCAAAGGTTTTCTAAATGGAAATTAACTGCAGACCTCTACACACTCTACTGTCGAGGGAATAGCAAACACACAGCCCACAATACTCTACAAAACAGCTTTTGGGTTATTTGTCCATGCACATTTGAGTCCCTGAAAAAAATAAATGGCCGTAATTCCTTAATGTTCAAAGCAATATCGTTCAGCCTCTCTAATTAAAGCTGAGTGTCTGGACTTGATTGTTTCTTTACAGGTGATTTTTTTATCCATCTCAAATTCTCCAAATTCAAATGTCACTAAGTGATGTCACTCACTTAGTGTCAAAAAAACAAGGACATAGCATAACAAACAAAAACATATTTAAGAGACTGAGGGGGAAAAAAAGAGGTACTAAATCCATAAAACAATAACAACAAAGCCTTTAAGATAAGAGCGTCTCACACCCAAAGCTACTGGGAAAAGGACCACTTTCTGTTCTAGTGCCAAGTATCTCCCTCTGAGGCCAGACTTTATAGAGATGAATAAACCCTGCCAGCAAACTTCAGCGCTACACACTGCACAGTATATCTTCCAGCACAAAGGAAAGAGACAAAGTAGTGCTGGTGCTGCAAAAGATAAAGAAAAAACAATTATCCTCTGAGCTTATTTTAGCATTCGCATTCCACCATTAATGCTATTGCCTATTGATATTTTTCTCTGCTTCACACTTTCTTGTTTTGTCAAACCGATTCACATGGCAAAGAAAGCTTTGTTGCATTTCAGTCATGTGATGTTATTTTAATAGAAAGATTTATAATGGTTCACAGAGCTCCATCGGGAGAAGTAAGACATCTTTGTGTCAAGGCATTAAAAAACAGGAAAGTGCAAGCTGATAGGTAAAGGCTCTTAAGCTCAGGCAATCCCAGAAGACCCTTTTCTCAAAACTTTACTCTTGAATGAACAATCAGTAACACATTAGTCATTGTTATTTCACTCAAAGCAGTCTTCCGCTTGAATACAGAGACAGTGACATGTGAACTTTAACCTTCCTAGCCTTGAATGTCATGGTCTGCAAGTACAACCTGAATAAACTATTTGCATTTTCATTTGCTCTCACAAAACAAAAAAACAGTTGCCCATCCCGGACTAACTGGCAGAAACCTTTAAACTTACTGTGATCTAAGAGTTTCTTTTTACTTGAATATTAGGCCAAAGATTAAAGCGTGTCACTGAAATCAGCAGAACAACAAAGAAACAACAAGGACATCCAAGACTTGCTGTGCAAAGCGTTAATGGTCCTGTAGCAAAGAACAAAAATCTTTTGCATGGCTGCAGGCACCCAACACATGAACAAACCTTTAATATTACTTTTTATTTCATGGATTTGTTGCAGTTACAGGATTCTTCCTGTAAAGTTTGATACTCGAGTGCAATGATTTAAAAGAAAGTAGAACGAGATCTGTGATTGACTGTAAACTTGATCTGTCTTTGACTTGTTGACCAGTCTCAGTTTAAATTTAGGTTTTTTCTGTCATGCAGTTTTACTGTGTTTGTGGATGAGGAGTTAATCTAACACAGAGTTAGCATTTTATTAAGTTTGAATATTTGTACCTCATTAAGCTACTGCTTTTTTAGGATACTGTGGTGCTAACATTACCCTATGTGGACTGGTGCTACCCTTAAAATTGCTATTGCTCACCTCAGTGTGGTAGAAGAATTTGTTTAAAGTGTGTGAACAAAAGCACCCCGTGCTACTACAGCAGGAAGCGTCTTTGGCTCAAAATGGCAAAACAAGTTTGACCCACTGGCTGAAACACCAAGCTTTAAATCAGCTCCTGAGAAAACCAGGAGACGTGTCACACATCGCTGGACCTGTTTTTATTTAATCTATGGGAACAAGCAAGGTGAGTGCAGAAAAACATCCATACTCTCGATTTTATAGATTTTGAACAAATGAGAAATGATAATGAAAAGAGATCAAATCTATATTGTGTTTAGGTTAGTATTGCTTTTAATTATGAGTCAAGACTATTGAACCATTAGGAACTGATTTATATACTTTGTTCATGGCTTTGAGCAGATAGGAAGTCAAAAACCCCACGGTTATTTGACTTTCCTTAAGTTATTTGAATATTTTCAGTAGACGGACTACAGCAGCAGCAGCAGGAGACCACACTGGGTGACATTCCTGTCAGCTAAGGACGGGAAACTGAGGCTACAATTCACTGTAGGTTCCAGAAAATAGGACAATAGAAGATTGGAAAGTGTTAATTTGTGCTGCAACATGCAGATGGTTGGGTGAGAATATGTAGTAAATGAAATGAAAACATGGATCCATCCTTATATCAGCAGTAGTATTGTTGCTGACCGTTTTCATCTCTTTATCACCACAGTAAACCAATCTTCTGACGGCTGCTTCTCCCAGGATAAAACACTGTGTCACAAAGCTCAAATCATCTCAAACGTCTTTATTGAACATGACAGAGAGTTTAGTGAACTCAAGTGGCCTCCACAGTCACCAGATCTCACTCCAGTAGAGCACCTTTGGGATGTGATAAAGTGAGAAAGTCACATCATGGACGTGTCAGCCAACAAATCTGCAGCAACTGTGTGATTCTGTCATTTTAATATTGACAAAAACCTTTGAGGAATGTTTCCAGCACGTTGTTGGGCTTGTTGCGCCAGGAAGAATTAAGGGCAGTTCTGAAGTTTAAAGGGGGTGTAGGCTAGCACTGAAAAGGTGTAACTAACAAAAGAAATGAATTGACACAGTTAAAAAGAGCTTTCCTTTGGCGTGTCAGAATGTGTGCTGGATAAAGACGTCTATCAGACCTGCGATGTCTATA